GGCCTATAGAATGAAAGACCGTCTGCAGATTTCGTTGCATTGATTTTAAGGACAGCGCTTCAGCGAACCGCCTCTTCGACAACGGTAGTAAAACGACTATTAAATGTTATAGTTCGTGAATTGCCGACAAGATTCTATTACCATCCGCATATTTAATGCACATGACACCGTTTGGCAACCAGGTTTCTCTGGGAAAGAACGGAATCCTATGCCACTCCGTGCAAACACAGTTACAGGCCGGATTCACGATGCTATACTTTCATGATGGGCGGAAAGCGCCACAGGTGGACTTCCCACTACTCTGCGTATCGTCGCATATACTTTGTCGGTCTGAAACGGAGCGGTCAAGCCAACTGTCTGTCTGTCTGTCTGTCTGTCTGTCTGCTTGCCTGCCTGTCTGTTCGTTTGTCTGTCAAAAGTGTACTGCTGCAGAAATAAACCTGACTACAGTAAGCGCGCTGATTTCTTCAGTACAATCCTGCACCTCCCGCGTCGGACACCGGGCAGGCTTCGATTCGTTCCTCGTAAACTCGATTTTCAGAAACAATACGCATTTGTGGCGAGAACCTTTCAAGCGGCCTGCTTCGAAACAATGCACCAGTTGCCGTTGCAATTTGTTTAATTGCCGATTGTTTACGGCCGTTCGGTTTACCTCTGCCTGCTGCATACTACACAGCTATTCGTCGGAAAGTATGTAGGAAAGCAGAAACCCGAAATGAATGAAATGCTGGCTGTCTGACGTAGTAATGCGGCAACAAGAGAACAAGTCACCGAATTAATCGCTTCGTCTTCTAGAGCATGTTTTCAGATGATCAAGGTTCAAGGATCAAGGCACTGGTTTCAAATTAAACTACGCAAAAATTAATAAATATTCGTTATTAATTAAGTTGCATTATTTTTACGCAGAAGTGCTTCGCAGTATGATATGCTGCATGTGGGATGGTTGGTGCACGATAATGTTGCCTCCTGTTTGGATGGCGAATTTAAAACGATACCCGATGTCGTAGATATGCTTGTTTGAGTAATTCAGTAAGAGTAGCAGAATTCTCTGTCCACTACTGAACTAAGCCTTCGAAAACTGCCACAAACTTCTGTCTTCTGCAGCTCTTGTCCACTTTGATCAAAAATACTAATTCAGCTCACTTTGTCATCGGTCTCGAGATCCTCCCGTTGACCGTTTACTGTTTACTGTCGGTTGGTATATCAAGCCCAGTAGTTCTTCGTCAAGCCAGACCAATCGATTCTTCTTTCAGCGTACCGTTCCTTGCTTTGACCATTGCCACTTTAACTTGGACAATGACGTCGCAGACTCTTGTGTTCTTACCCATTCGCTCGTCTTCCTGGCGTATCTTGTTATTCTCAGAATGCATTTTTTCAATGTCGTGTTGCGCAGTCTGCGGCTTACAGATGGATTGGTACTGGAAGCACTGATTGATTGATGTCTTTCTGTGTCGAGGACAAGTTCATTTTGTAGGATTTCACTCCAGTGGACGGTAGTAAAACCAGGTGGTCGGGTGGCAAGTCGCTGGCCCATGAATAAACGTGACAGCACGGTCAGCACGGTGTTATGCCAAATCGGGCTGTACGGCTACAAATCGATTTGACGTGCCTGAGCGTGGACTAACTGTACATATATTGTAGCCCTTAAATTGAAAAAAATAAATTACTTATTCAGTAAACTATGTATTCCCGTGCTGTTTTGTATATAATGAGTACTAATGAGTGGCGAAAGGAAGCAAAGCAGAAGTGAGGGTTATGCTAAACTGCTCACTGTTTCCTTTTAAAGTATAGGAAATTTCATTCATCACTGCCATGTAGCGTCACATTGGACAAGTTGCTGTGTTCAGTAGTGAGCCCAGTGGCAGACTTTTCGTCTACCGTATAGCCACAACTCGCAAAATATTGTACACAGGGTTGTAAGGTTGATCCTCAGTGCAAGCCAGAAAATCGTTAACTGTCTCTTTGATGCACCCATCTTTGTTCTTGTAAAAAGTTCACTGATTTCCTTGGCAGAATAATCCGTAGTGGGTGTGAATGCATGAACAGCTTGGATAATTATGAAAGACTGGATATGTTTATGTGCAAAACCTGTGCATTAGGCATTGTCTACCTGAGAGAAGGTACCTAGATTTTTGACCAGCAGAATAATGCACAGATCTTTAACGATTTAACTATTTAAGACATCAACACAGTTGGATGACAGAATAGAGAGGAATTTGCTAACGTAACTTGTGAAATGTCTAATTAACTTTTTTAAAGGTGAACAGTGAGATGAAGCTCTCTCACCATTTTCTTCTCCCAGAGGGAAGATTCAGTTCAAGTTTTTTTGCTGCATATCGTACTGACCTCTGACACGCTGATGAGATTTTCTTGGTGTGTAATACGTAAAGCGAGCTCTGACGCCTGTATGTGATGTAACTTGGGAACTCCAGTCTCTTCTTTAACGCCCAGAAGCATGAGGAGCCTATCCGGAACGGTAGATTTACAGTCTTAACAGTGAGGTGAAAATCTTCAGAGTATTGGCCAGTTAATTATCTCGGATCCGTCACCTCCACCGATTTCACTATCGAGTCACAATGAAATAGGAGGATCGCCCTCGCATCCAATGTTTTTGGTGACCTGCAAAATATTTAGGTCGAGAAAGGGCTAGCCCATTCCACAAAACCCTGCCTTGTAGTGCCTCCGTCAGGTCAGTGTGTTCAGTGTGGAAACGGTTAATATAACAGAGCGATGGTTGAACGACATGCAGCAGCGTAGGTTTAGGCGCATAATGAGATAATTATGGTTAAACAGCAGGTCCACATAAGGAGTGACTCCGTTCCCTTCCAGGCATTGGTGAACTCAGCAGATGTGGCAACCTAAAAAGAGGTTAGCCCTGTCAAATAAATTGGTTGAGCAGAAATTTATTCCACCCCTGCGAGCTTTCGTGTGGGATCCAAAACACGGCCGACGTCAGCCTAAAGGCCTGCACACAACCTGGAGAAACAAGGAAGGGGGCAGATCTGCTTCAGAGCAGGAATATTTCCTTCTACAGCACGATCATCAGTGTCTTGTAACAAAAGTATTGCAAATCTGCGAACACAACAGACATCACAAACCAAAGACATTCTACTTATGTAATCGCGCGCACAAACGCGATGACGAGTAAGATTCTGTGTGCTCCCTACCTCGATTTTGTTGTGATTCTAATGCAGTGATTCTAATTCTTTCCAGTTTTGCAGCGTCATCTTGTAAGTTATACGAGGGATTTGAGAGCTTAAACAGATCTCAGGAAAATCGAAAATAGTCTTTCTTCTTAAGCTTTGTTCCAAACGCTATCAATTCACGATTCTGCAAGTCCCCTTTCACCACGAGGCCAGCTTCTGGCGCAGCTTCTAGGTTATTTCTACTACTGTCGTAGACAGTCGTTATGGATTCAGTGCTGCAAATTTTATGATGTTGATCGATGCAGGCGCAACATCGAACTGATGATACAACAGTGTCCCGTTATAATTCTACGTGAAATAATTAATTAATAGGTCTGTGTGCGAAACCTATGAATTAATTCATCGTGAGCTTCAGAGGCAGGATAACATTCTGGTTATTCTTCACTGCCATTTTGATCGATAGTGTTCACATTTCAAACTCATGATACAAAAAATATGCAGTAAATCTCCTCCTTCTTACGATGAAATATTCCATGACGCAATGTTGGAAAACATCGTTTGGCTCTAGCCAAGCCATT